AGCCACGTGGAGTAGGAGGAAAAGAAAGGGGAATTTACGAATAGGGTAGACCTAGCTAGGGGGAGACGAACGCAGCTTCGGGTGGTGCCACCTGAATTGAACCAATTAAGGGACTGTAAATGAGCAGGGTGCTGGTCGAGGAAAATTGAATGCGCCAGGGTGCACTTGGAAGCATCAAGGTAATGTTGCAGAGTGGTAGTGGATGCAGCAGCATACAAGTCTAGATTTGAGGTATAACGATCAGTACGGAATATGATTCGCAGTATACGGCGATGGAGAACTTCTAATTTACCTACATGTATGTGGGTTTTGTTAATGGTGGACCAGGCAGGGAAGCCGTACGTGAAGAGGGGAAGAATGTATGATTTATAAAAATTAATCCGGCAATTTTTGGGCAAATGGGACAAGTGACTTGACATTATGCCGACAGATCGGCATACTTTGGACGACACATGATCAGCATGGTGAGACCAGGAGAGGGCGGAATCTATGACAATGCCAAGGTGTTTATGGTGGGGCGCTACAGAGATAGGGTGACCGGGATCATCGGGAAAGTGGAAGATGGGCACTGGATCTGTGGGAGGGGGAAACAGGAGGAGCTCGGTTTTGGTCACATTTGGCTTAAGGTACCAAGTGCTCATCCAGTGAACAATGTCGTTGATACAGGTCTGAACTTTGGGGTACAGGGTGGCGTGAGATGGGGAGGAAGCAAGGACAGTGGTATCATCTGCAAACAAAGAAATATTGGGAATTGAATAGGGGAGGTCATTAACGTATGTGAGGAAGAGCAGGGGACCTAAAATGGAGCCCTGGGGCACTCCGGATGTCACAGACTCGGGGTCAGATAAGGTTCCATTTACTGTGACGCACTGATTTCGGTCCAAGAGGTAGCTAGTTATCCAGGCGAGTAGGGAGCCGGAGACACCATGGGCACGAAGTTTGGCGATCAGGCCCTTGTGCCACACGGTGTCGAAGGCCTTGGAGAGGTCGAAGAAACAGATGCAGGAGACCTGCCGCTGGTCTTTTAGGGAGCAGAGGTCTTGGATTATGCGGGATAATTGCAGGGATGTGTTGTCCTTACGACGGAAGCCAGATTGTTCGGGGTGAAGAAGAGGGGAGATATGGTCGTACAAGCGGTCGTACACTATTCTCTCTAGCAGTTTGGAGACGCAGGACAGGAGGGAGATTGGTCGGTAATTAGACGGGTTGTTCTTGTCGCCTTTATTTTTGTACACTGGAATGACAGTGGCTGACTTCCATCGTGACGGGAATGTGCCGGAGGAGAGGGAAAGGTTAAAAAGAATGGAGAGTGGGCGGGCAATTGAGTAGCTCAGTTTCCTGAGGATCTCATTGGTGATCCTATCAGCTCCGGGGGATTTGTTCAGAGGCAGTCTTGCAATATACTTGTGAACAGTCGATGAGGTGATGATCAGGGAGTGCAATGTAGTTGCTGGTGGAGGTAAAGAGGAAATAGTGGGAATAGGAGCATCGGGGTCAACCTGTAAGCCAGCACTAACGAAGTGGCGGTTCAATAAGTTACCAATGGATGCCGGAGAGGTGCCTGTTCGACCATTGGGGCCCACCATCTTCGAAGGTATAACCCGGGCGCTGGTGGGATTTCGCAGTTGACGAATGAGCACAGGGAGGGATGGGAGGCGAGGGTTTGTGGGAGATATCGTGGCACGGAGGTTGCGGATGTAGCAGCGATGGCAGGATCTGGAAAGGCATTTTACATAGTTACGTTGGTGTTTGTATTTGTTGAAATTTGTAGGGGATGGGTATTTCCGGTAGATGCTGTTCAAGTGACACAAATCCGGAGAAAATATTTACGAGGCTTCTTTTACTTTTAGAATAATGGAGAGCTACGGAGGAGACATACGCAACCGAATCTGATGTACGTGTATTTTTGAGCTTAGCGAAAAGCCGAATAGGCGAAAGCCTAGCTGTGGCCGAGGCACGTATCCAGTGAACCTTAGTGATCCGATTGAGTCTGTATAATTATTACTACCAAGTATATCCGATGATTCGCTTTATGTAACTGTGTTGATGCTTCACAAAATGTGTTATTTTGCCCGAACAAGAGTATAAAGGTGTTTGGTAAAAAAAATCTAAGTGTGATATGTTAGTCTGCGCTTGCAATACATGTCCAAATGTACGTGCCGTGAAATCAGGGCAAACACAAAAGATAGAATTTGTTTGGCGTTAAGGGCGAGATTTGATTGGCTGGATTTGACGCTCGTAATACACTCAGAAAGGACTTGACACTAGATAAGGGGCCATGTGTTAGGCCTTGACAGATTATGCTAGCATAATTTTTCGCATAATTCCTACCAAAATCGAATAATCGCATAATTCGAGGCAAATTGCATACGAATCGCATAAAATTGGAATAATCCGCCTGTTCGTATCAAATTCCGTATAGTTGTACATGTTCTGCAAGTACAAGTACAAGTAGATGCACCAGGAAGTCGTAGGTTTACGACTCCCTTGAGAACAGGTCCAGTCCACTACAATCAGTGACGGTCGTAGCTAGGTCGGACGGTGCGTTGACCCCGTTGAACTATTGCTACTAAAGTACAACGCCCCTCTACAAAAAAATCCCCTGTTATTTTGCACAGAACCATTATACATTAGCAGCATATAATAGCATAATGCGGCATAATATGATAACTTTTAGCATAAAAATAGCATACTACAGTAGTTATGCCATTTTTCAGCAATGCGAAAAGCATAATTTTACGAAAATATTAGCATAATCTGTCAAGGCCTATCATGTGTCTTCTAGTGTACGTAGAGAGTCGCAGGCATTTCACAGAATAGCTTGCCCTTGAAGTTTCTTCTGATCTCAAGGCAATGCTATCCAGCATTTGTACTCACTGAACCTTCTAACTTCAAGGGTAACTTGCAGCTTGCCTTCTCTCTCCCTCTCTCTCTTTTTCTCTCTCTCTCTCTCTCTCTCTCTCTCTCTCTCGCTCTCTCTTTATCACTCTCTTCCTTTCTCTCTCTTTTTGCCCTATTTTTTGCCCTCTCTCTCTATCTCTCCGTCTATCTATCTATATATCTATCTATCTATCTCTATCTATCTATCTATCTATTTCTTTCTCCTTCTCTCTTTCTCGATCCCTTGTTATCACCGAAAATGCAGAAAAGACAAATTATTCAGAGTTGCGTCAGCATGCTCGCCTATCATTATGGTAACCCTAGGGTTTGGCACTGAATGGCGGTCAAAACACACCAAACACCACACGCTCCATCTCAATGCAAGCAGGTCTGTTACATCACTGTAAATATATCTACTCTCACTATGCACAATGCTGTGGACAGTAAGCTATTTCGGCCATAAATTAAGGGCCTCATCAATACAGCTACGAGCTTACATGTATAAGCAAGCCGAGCTACCAGCCGTGGTGCAAAGAAGGCACCACAGACATTCTTGATTTGAATTCGCAAGTACACATGGGCTACCTCACGCCTAGTCGACAGGTTGCGATCAATTGCACCCAATGGTGTATAAACAGGTTTGCTAGAAGTTTCTCCACTATTCTCATCAAATCTCTCCCTTTAATAGTGCAGTGTTGGTTGGTTGCTTGCTTTTTATTTCACTTCGCACATTCAAACGGGATGACAACCCAACAAAATGACGGCGAAGGCTTAGCCTGTAAGTGGCTATGGAAGAACATAGTAAAGGCTATGGAAGCACAAAGGAGGAGAATAAGATACTAATAACTGCGAGTACACGGGGGGGGGGGAGGAGAGAGAGAATACGATGTGTCTGTGATACTTACTATCAGTGATACTACGTGAGGATCACTGAACTGCACGGGGAGGGAGAGCAGAGCGATCAGCAGTAACTCGAACTACTCCCTACAGTGCGCATCACATCTCTCCTACGTTGTTTGTATAATTATGTAGTTTTCTTTGCATAACAAATTAAAATTACAATGCATCATCTTCTTCTTCTGGTTTATTTTCACTGCTCCGCACAGAGGACTGGTACGACATTACTGCACATTACAGTCGTGATTTCGCACTGAGAAAGTGATGTTGGATGACATAGGATGGCCACCACATGATATCCGTATTAATATTATCCGTGTGTGCGTGATCAGTTCGTGTCAGCGCTCAGTTCGTGCACGTCACGTCCATGTAACTTCGTACCTTCACTGCACCTGATGGTACTGGGTGGCGTACGGAGACTTATTAATACTAGCAGATAGAACGGCATAGGACAGAATGACGCCGATGGGACGGTTCTCTCCGTCTCAAGTATGTGCCTTCAGTTCCTATCTTCCCGTTCCTGTTAGTGCTCTAGTGCCCGGCGCGTGGTACGGAGATGCACATATTAAGGATCTAGGACAGGGCTTCCTTAGAGCAGCATTTGCTGAGCAAAGTCGCAGCTGCCAGATGAGAAGTGGGGTAATCAATCATTATAGATCACGACTGATGACCACATGACCAGCACTACATGCCTCATCCCGAAGTCGAGTCCCGCATCACATGTACAGGCCACTACAGCTGGTACTTCATGCTTGATAATGTGCACCTACTAATAATGAAGTGGGTCAGAATGTTCCTATCAGTTATCCCGTGCAATACGCGTGCAACGTAAGCTCAATATCAGGACTACTCCCTGGTACATGGTAGGGGTGGGGGGGGGGGCGTACAACACGCCGTCGCTGAAATCCCGGGCGGTGACACCGGTGGAAGCCGTCCAAGGCTAATCGACACTTCCTTTTCTGCCAACAAAGCAAAGCGAAGACTTCAAGAGGGATACATCACTGCAATGCACACATACATTACAACATGTATTTGAAGTATGTGGCTTATATCATGTAAAGGGCAAACTACAGGATATGCATGGCGATATCCCTTGCTTATGCTGTCCTGTTCATTCTTGAAGAGGTAGAGGATGTTCGCGCACTTGAAAGCTGCAAAGTCACTCCGTACGGATATTCAAAACGCCAATTGCCACTCAGCTCCACTGCATGGTACATAGTGTCATTGCCCTATGCTGTGGCATATGGTTGTTTGACAACCCAGGTCGGACCTCGCACATGCCTTTAACTCCTCTCGTCCTTGCTGTACGTTGTATTCGAGACAGTCACGAAGTTCTCCATCAGCTCGTACCACTCACGAAAGTGTCCCTCGTCCGCTAGTGCGATGGATATCGAGCTTGTACGGCAGCATTCGATGCGACCACGGTGACTTCACACGTTTCCCTATTCACCATGCAGTTACTAACACCGCCAAAAGCGGAATAAAAGCGGCCGACGTTCGCCAGTTGCAGCACACCTCTTGCCAGGGAGACGACGCAAAGGGCTGCTCTGGCTCCCCTATTTTCTTGATAAGTATTATTTTTACTAGCACTACGAACTGTAGTCATGAAGGGAGCATTGTTGTGCATCCTAGTTCTCCTGGCTCTGGCAGCCATCAGCTCCGCACAGCGTGGCCGCGGAGGTGGCAGGGGCCGCGGTGGAGGTGGTTCGTCGCCCAGTGGAAGGCCGGGAACAGCTGGAAGTGGAAAAGGAGGCGGCGGCGGCTCTCCAGGTCGCGGCCGCGGCTCTCCTGGTCGCGGCGGCGATAGGGATAATGATAATGACCGTGATAATGAGAACGGTGGTGGTGGTCAAGGCGGTGCACCAGCTAGAAGCCAGCCTGCTGAAGGACAGGGAGATAATGACAACAGTGATCGACGGGATGGTGGACGACCAGGTGGTAAGGGGCCTCAGCGTGGTGGTGGACGACAGGGAGGTGAAGGCCCACAGCGTGGTGGCGGGCGACCGGGCAGTGCTGGGCCACAGCAGGCTGGTGGCCGACCAGGCGGCAAACCAGGCCCACAACGACGACCAGGAAGTGCAGGCCCACAACGCGGAGGAGGACGACCAAGCGGCAAAGGCCCACAGCGAGGTGGCGGACGACCAGGAGGTGCAGGGCCACAGCAGGGTGGAGGACGACGAGGTGGTCGCCCCGGGGGCAAGAACAACTCACCAAGGCCTAACCCACTAGCCAGAGTACTGAATTGCCCTGTCAACCCTGCACCAATGGCAATGGTTGATCACAGTGCCGTATCCATTCAAGATATCCGCAACTGCATCCAGGAAGCTTTTAGAGCAGCTGGTCCAGGTGGTCCAGGTGGTCCAGGTGGTCCAGGTGGTCCAGGTGGTTCAGGTGGTCCAGGTGGTTCAGGTGGCCCAGGTGGCCCAGGTGGTTCAGGCGGCCCACAAGGTGGATCCGGCCAAGAAGGTCCAGGACAACAGGGCCCAGGTCAGGATGGACCGGGCATGGCAGGATCCGGAGCGGGTGGGCCGCCAGCTGGTGGTCCTCCGGACGGCCAGGGTTCAGGTACTGATGGACCTATGGGAAGTGGTGCCGGCGAGGAAAATGTGTGCGGCCTCGTACGTCAATTATGCTGCAGCTTCCAGCGGATCTGCCTCAATATTGCCCGATCTCTGCGCCCCTTGTAAGATCAAATTAGTAAACTTCTGAAGGATCTGACTGACTATTCATTATTTACTACCACCAAAAGCGTTATTTTTTAGCGTCTGTTGCACAATTGCAAACTCTATGCTGATTCCTCTACATACTTTGCGCATCTTCTTTTAAATATTGCCGACTACCTTCCGCTATCCTGCACACATTCTGTACGAAAGTATCGCCACAACAAAAAATTTAATACACTTTAACTACAACTGAGCTGGAACTTAGCTGATGTGGCCTCTCCAGGCTGGTGTCTGCGGATAGGTGAGAACGTGTTGGAAATGATTTTGATCTAGAATTCTAGCTGCAGTTTTGTTCTAGTGAACGATTCTGTCCTTTTCCTTTTCGTTGGTCGATTGGAGATGCACTCTTTCACATTGAACACCTGATGAAAGTGTTCGTGTTTTGGGCCTCGTCTATTTCATTTATAAAATGCGGGAGCATGTCATGTGCTTCAAACCCACTGAAAGTGTGTTTTCTCAGTGAACGCTACTCCTGAATTGAGGTGGTGACAAGCGATCCCTATTCAATTAAGATATTTGAAGTTAACGCAACGACTATTAGTACCAAAATACATGTGCCTCAAGGTGAATCGTTTTTGGTCATGCACCTGCTGGTAGAATAGTTCTGCCACTGCTTGCTCTACTTAGCCCTTCACCTCAACTCCTTTATTGTCACTAACTTGTAATAGGCGATTTAGCATGAGAACGATCAGAAAAGTTATGACAGTTACTGCTGACCATGCATGCGAATTTGCCTACGTAGCAGCCCCTCCTCTACTGGGTGTTGTGCAATACTCTCCGTACCTCTACACGACACATTCACCAACATGCAATGTACATGTACATGTATAGCAGATACAATGTAGACTGTGCAGTTGCCATCATAAAATTCAGTCGAGCAAAGGAATTAGATGAGTTAGGTTGTGGTGGGTAACGACTTAATGTACCAGTTCTGATTACATCACATCGCGCGCCTGGTTGTGATCAAGCCGAGACCCAAGGTCGGCAGAGCATCCCAGACCACGCCACCACTCCCCTTATTCATGGCTCACACATGACGGGTTTACGTGGCTCTAGTAAAAAATAAATAAAAAAAAGTGCACTCCCAGCAACATTCACACCAGAGACTGCTCACTGTGCTATATTATGTACAGTAGGTATCGGTTATACTTATAGCGTGGGTGTTTGAAAAACGACATTTGATTCTTATTGCCGATATTTCTTACACACGATAAATCACGTGTGACATATCATATGCACGTGTGACATATCATACATATACTGTACAAATACATGATAATATATATATGCGCGCACGTTTGGCATGTGGACACGTACACATGATACACACGGATCAATCAGACTCGCGGTCGTGCTAGGCGACTGCGGAGCAGCGGATACGAGAGAAGTCGGAAGAAAGAGTCCGACTGGACAGAAAAGTGATTCTCCAATGCTCCCTTGGACATAACTCTCTTTTTGTGTTCAATATCATTGTATTAAGCATGCACAGAGCACAGATGTTATTACTACAGGCGATACACTTTGCACTAATCTGGCATATTTTGCTACACAAAATCCATTCTTAGGGCCGATATATTCTACTATGCGATAATACTGCTTGTAAGAATAAATATACACATAAAATATGTGTTATGATTATGAAAAAATGAGTGTTCATTCTTGTAAGCAGTATAACTATTCTTGTATACGACCACACTATAACCGATATGCACTGTACATGTACAGTGCTGACAACTGAAATCCGACCCCCTGGGCGGCGCGTTCACTTTCTAGCGGCCTCTATTTCGGGTCTTTGCGATGTGAGCGCACTGGTCAGGAGGTCGGATTTCAGTTGCCAGCAGTGTAGTTACTACTCGCTGATTGTAGTGGCCTGGCACAAGCGAAACTTCCTCAGCTAGTTGTGTTTCTCCACACAGGTGTAAGTCGGTGGTAATGCGGATTTGTTCACTGTACTTCACTATACTCCCTGACTCTCACCATGCCAAGGCGTCGAGGGCATTCAAGTCCAGGGTGCCAAATACAGACTACAGTATGCTTTTTTGGTCATACATGTAACAAACATCAAATGTATGTGACTGTTTCGATGGGGTATATACAATATGTACTTGTACAGTGTTTCGCACTGTCCTGTTGAACGCATGCATTTCAAAAATTAACAATGACATGGCTGTATCATGTTGTTGTAAATTTTGTCAACAGGACAGTGCATTCGGATGTACTGGTGTGGTGTGTTGTGATCTGTGAACGTCCTTTGCCAGGGACTGCACGCCAGCTGCTTTAATATTTAAATAATTATCACAATCAGACGTAGAACATCCGCTCGCGCATCCCTGGCCTGCCCAGCCCGGAACCAGACGTGCTGCGATTTCGGGAGGAAGTGTATACCCGCTCTTGTCACATGACTCCAAACCCTCTGAACAGATAGTTCATGCATGGAGGACAACCAGAGAGACAGAGGACACGAGTAATGTCCACTCGACCACTGTACTCAGCAATGCATGACTGCCGCTCCGCTCCTACCTGCGCCCGGGGAGAGTTGTTGCTGTTGAAGTATTACTTAGTTCAGTAGCGTTGCCTATAAAACCTCCTTGTTCCCTTCTTGCCCTGATTTGGATGTACAGCCATATCTGACCAGTGTTATTAGCAGATTGATTAATACGGACTGCTCGAAGTCACCCACACGGTATCCACACACCAGCGATTCCGCAGCACAATGCTTGCCCGGGGTACATCGTCGTCGCATCGGATTTCTTTTCTAGTGCTTGTCGTCGGCATTGAAATCCACCTCGTACTTGGAGAAGTGATTGGGAGGGACACAGGAAGACAGCAAGAGCGCAATAACAACCTAGAAACGTTGGAATTTGGCGATTCTGTCCGGGGACCCGTGGAGAATCGCATCATAGACGATGGTGTCGTTTTGGAGCGAACCGCAGATGGCATATCGCTTGCAGCTGAACGAAATGCTCGGCGTCAGGGCTCACCGCACACTCACAGGGATCGCCTGTCCGTCCGATCATTATCGGAGAATAATGCTCAGCATACACACAAGTACCGGCTACCCGGTCGATTTGCCATGGCTCAGCATACACACAAGTACCGGCTACCCGGTCGATTTGCCATGGCTCAGCATACACACAAGTACCGGCTACCCGGTCGATTTGCCATGGCTCAGCATACACACAAGTACCGGCTACCCGGTCGATTTGCCATGGCTCAGCATACACACAAGTACCGGCTACCCGGTCGATTTGCCATGGCTCAGCATACACACAAGTACCGGCTACCCGGTCGATTTGCCATGGCTCAGCATACACACAAGTACCGGCTACCCGGTCGATTTGCCATGGCTCAGCATACACACAAGTACCGGCTACCCGGTCGATTTGCCATGGCTCAGCATACACACAAGTACCGGCTACCCGGTCGATTTGCCATGGCTCAGCATACACACAAGTACCGGCTACCCGGTCGATTTGCCATGGCTCAGCATACACACAAGTACCGGCTACCCGGTCGATTTGCCATGGCTCAGCATACACACAAGTACCGGCTACCCGGTCGATTTGCCATGGCTCAGCATACACACAAGTACCGGCTACCCGGTCGATTTGCCATGGCTCAGCATACACACAAGTACCGGCTACCCGGTCGATTTGCCATGGCTCAGCATACACACAAGTACCGGCTACCCGGTCGATTTGCCATGGCTCAGCATACACACAAGTACCGGCTACCCGGTCGATTTGCCATGGCTCAGCATACACACAAGTACCGGCTACCCGGTCGATTTGCCATGGCTCAGCATACACACAAGTACCGGCTACCCGGTCGATTTGCCATGGCTCAGCATACACACAAGTACCGGCTACCCGGTCGATTTGCCATGGCTCAGCATACACACAAGTACCGGCGACCCGGTCGATTTGCCATGGTGAGGCAATCTGTGCACAGTGCACAGTAGTAACCTGTTCCACAGAACCTGCTGCTCGGACGCAGTTCGCGCTTACGGGCCATGTCCTGCTGTGAACCAGTTCGGTCCAATCAGGAACCTGCCTCCAACCTGTAAGCCTAAACCTTCCCGCAAATGCGTGTTTAGCGTCCAAGATATGATCGCTTGCAGAGAACCCGCGAATAGGTCAAAGAGGTGCTGCACTTTCTTTGGTTTTAAAAAAGCACTAAAGCCAAGAATGGTGTGGTCGAGCTCACAACCGAAACGAGGAACGTGGCAACCGTTTTGTTGCAAGCTCTTGCCGGACGAGACTTCGTGGACAAATGCTTGTGGTTAGTTTACCACTCTCTTGTCTTGTTGTTAATTTGTTCCTTCCTCACCTTTCCCATTGTTTCGTATTATACATGTACATGTTCACTGTACCAATTCGATCCTTCCTGCATCCTTTTTCTTAATAACCCCATTATCACATTCGCTTCCATGTAATTGGGCTTGTAGCCCGCGTCTACTTGCGAATTCAAATAAAATATACATACAAGTACATACGTATCAAAGAAGGCGTTGTCACTCGTTTGTTTTCCGACTTTTAATCAACAACAACGACGGAAAGAACGATGACGTCAACGACGATGACAATGACAGCAATGACAGTCGTGCTACAAGTACATCCCATGCATAGTCTTAATCACACACTGTTTTTCTTTTGGGTTACATTTCTTTCCCTTTTCTGGTTTTCTGGGTTTGCATTTCAAGATGATTTGTATTGCATTTTCATCCATTGTGTTTCTTTTGCCCGGAAAAAAGGCTTCATGATTTGTATTTGTATTTTATTATGTTTAAGGATTTCCCAAAGGTTTTGGGCCTGTCGAGGGGATCTCCTGCAAGCAGAATGAAATGACAATTTTATGTAGAGGGAGCAGTTAACAGACATAATCCTGAACCTGTGGTGGATAATGCCCCTTTTGATTCTGTACAAACAGGTTAAAAACGAGTGATGCGTAAGGGTTTACCGGGTGTTAGCGGCCACCGTGAGTTCCCTTCAATTCGGGAACGGACACAATAATTTACCCTTTTTTTACTTCAAATGTCGTAAATCACTGGCGCAAGGATAATTGTATCAAATAAAAAAATGCCAACTTGAAATCCCGACTTGACAGCAGACTGAGCAGAGTACATGTACATGTACTTGCATGCAGGAGTTGCACACTCATGGGGTGGGGGGGGGCTACCGGTACGTACTCTTGGTTTCACTTTTGCGGAATCCCACTGCGTCTGTAGCGTCACTTACGAGTCTTTAACATGGTCACAACGTCTCTTTTGAAGTTGATGTTTAATAACTGTAATAACACAGGTGCGCGTACAACATGCACAGCCGTGCTATACATGCTTCCGCTGTTGTTCTCTAGCTCTGTCCATTATGCATGTCAATATCCGACCGTTGTGGCGACTCCTTCAGATTATCTGCCGCCATCCATTGCGATCCGCAGCAAA